TTTTTAAAAAATGAAGAAATTCTTTGAGAATTATCCAACTCAATTAGGAAAAGTAACATAAGGAGTATAGGTATCCCAAAGAGGGAAAGGAACAGAGAGCTTGTTCAAAGAAATAATGGCTGAGAACTTCACAAACCTGAGGAAGAAACTGGACACACAAGTACATGATGCCAGTAGAAATCCTAATTACGTCAATGCAACAAGACCTTCTGCAAGGCATATAATATTAAACCTGTCAAGAGCCAATGACAAAGAAAACATCCTAAGGGCAGCAAGAGAGAAGAAAATAACCTACAAAAGAACCCCCATCAGGCTTTCAGCAGATTTCTCAACAGAGACTTTACTGGCTAGGAGAGAGTGGAATGATAAATTCAAAATACTGAAAGACAAAAACTATCAGCCAAGAATCCTCTATCCAGTGAAATTATCCTTCATATATAACAGGAAAATAAAAGCTTTCCCAGATAGACAAAAGCTGAGGGACTTTATCTCCACTAGACCTGCCTTACAAGAAATGATTAAGGGAACCCTCCTACCTGAAACTAAAAGGCAAAGATTTACAGTGCTTTGAACAAGGAGAAATATAGACAAGATCAGAAAATTGCAGCTATCGGAATAGGTTAGCAAACACTTAATTATAACATAAAAGATAAAGAGAAAGAAAGTATCAAAAGTAACTGTAACCACTTCAATTTAGTCACAAATTCACAACACAAAAAAGAATAACCTGTGACAACAAAAACACAGAAGGGGAAGAGAAAATAGATGGAACCTGCTTAGGTTAATGGAGATATGAGGCTATCAGAAAATGGACAGTCTCGTCTATGAGATCTTTTATACAAACCTCGTAGCAACCACAATACAAAAAATCAGAATAGAGTCATAAATCATAAATAAAGAGGAAATTGAGAAACCGTCACAGAAAACCACCAGATGCCACAGAAATACAAAGAATTATAAGAGGATACTATGAGAAGCTATATGCCAACAAATTGGATAAGCTAGAAGAAATAGATAAATCCTTGGAATCATACAACCTCCCAAAACTGGATCAAGAAGAAATAGAGAATCTGAATAGACCAATCACAAGAGACTGAAACAGCAATCAAAAACTTTCCAAAAAACAAAACTCCAGGACCAGATGACTTCTCTGGTGAATTCTACCAAACACTCAAAGAAGATTTAATACCTATCCTTCTCAAACTATTCCAAAATATTGAAGAAGACAGGATGCTACCTAACTCATTGTAGGATGCCAACATTACCCTGATACCAAAACCAGACAAGGATAACACCAAAAAGGAAAATTACAGGCCAGTATTACTGATGAACATGGATGCAAAAATCCTCAACAAAATATTAGCAAATTGAATACAACAATACATTAAAAGGATCCTACACCATGATCAAATGGGATTTATTCCAGGGATGCAGGGATGGTTCAGTATCCACAAATCAATCAATGTGACACACCACATTAACAAAATGAGGAATAAAAATCACATGATCATTTTATTAGATGCAAAGAAAGTATTTGACAAGATCCAACATCCGTTTATGATAAAAACCCTCAATGAAATGGATATAGAAGGAAAATACCTCAAAATAATAAAAGACATATATGAAAAACCCACAGCCAACATTATACTCAATGGGGAAAAACTGAAAGCCATCCCTCTGAGAACAGGAACAGGACAAGTGTGACCATTCTCACCACTCTTATTCAACATAGTACTGGAGATTTTGGCCAGAGCAATTAGACAAGAAAAAGAAATAGAAGGGATCCAAATTGGAAAGGAAGAAGTAAAACTCTCACTGTTTTTGGATGACATGATTCTGTATGTAGAAAATCTTAAAGAATCCACCAGAAAACTATTTAGAAATAATCAACAACTACAGCAAAGTTGTGGGGTGTAAAGTCAATGTACAAAAATCAGTTGCATTTCTAGCAGAAAGAGAAGTCAAGAATATAATGCCATTTACAATCACAACAAAAAGGATAAAACATCTAGGGATAAATTTAACCAAGGAGGTGAAAGACCTATACACTGAAAACTATACGAAATTATTGAAAGAAATTGAAGAAGACATAAAGGAATGGAAAGTTATTCCATGCTCATGGATTAAAAGAATAAATATAGTTAAAATGTCCATATGACCTAAGTCAATCTACAGATTCAATGCAATCCCAATCCCAATCCCAATGACATTCTTCACAGAAATAGAACAAAGAAGGCTAAAATTTATAAGGAACAACAAAAGACCCTGAATAGCCAAAGCAATCCTGAGAAAAAAGAACAAACACGGAAGTATCACAATCCCTGACTTCAAAATATGCTACAAAGCTGTAGTAGTCAAAACAGCATACTAGCGGCAGAAAAACAGAAACACATCAATGGAACAGAATTGAAAGCCAAAAATACAACCACACATCTATGGACAGCTAGTCTTTGACAAAGGAGCCGAGAACATACTATGGGAACAGAAAGTCTCTTTAATAAATGGTGTTGGGAAAACTGGACAGCCACATGCAAAACAATGAAAGTAGACCATTATCTTACACCATACACAAAAATTAGCTCAAAATGGATTAAAGACTTGAGTGTAAGACCTGAAACCATAAAACTCCTGGAAGAAAATATAGGCAGTACACTCTGACGTCAGTCTTAGCGGTATCTTTTCAAATTCCATGTCTACTCAGGCAAGGCAAACAAAAGAAAAAATAAACGGTTGGGACTACATCAGACTAAAAGCTTCTGCAAGGCAAAGGAAACCATGAATGAAACAACAAGACAACCCACCAACTGAGAGAAAATATTTGCAAATCATATATCTGACCAGGGGTTAATTTCCAAAAAATATAAAGAACTCATACAACTCAATAACAAAAAACAACCCAATCAAAAGATGGGCAGAGGATATGAACAGACATTTTTCCAAAGAAGATATACAGATGGCAAACAGGCACATGAAAAGATGTTCAACATCACTAATCTTCAGGGAAATGCAATCAAAACGACAATGAGCTTTCACCTTGTGCCTGTCAGAATGCTATAATTAACAAGAAAAGAATTAACAGATGTTGGAGAGCATGTGGAGAAAAGCGAACCCTCACACACTGCTGGGAGGAATGCAAACTGGTACAGCCACTATGGAGACTTCTCAAAAAACCAAGAATAGAAATAACATATGATCCAGCTATCCTACTACTGGGTATTTATCCAAAGAACATGAAATCAACAATTCAAAGAGATTTATGCTCCCCTGTGTTCATTGCAGCATTATTCACAATAGTGAAGACATGGAAGCAATCCAAGTGCCCCTCAACTGATGAATGAATAAAGAAGATGTGGTATACACACACACACACACACACACACACACACACAATAGAATACTACTCAGCCATAAAAAGACAAAATCGTCCCATTTGCAACAACATGCATGGACCTTGAGGGTATTATGCTAAGCAACATAAAGCAGACAGAGAAAGACAAACACTGTATGATTTCACTCATATGTAGAACATAAACAAACACATAGATAAGGAGAACAGATTAGTGGTTACCGGAGGGGAAGGGTTCAGGGGAGGGCAAAAGGGAGGAAGGGGCACATATGTCTGGTGACGGATAAAAACTAGACCATTGGGGGGAACATGATGCAATCTATACAGAAACTGATATGCGATAATGTGCACCTGAAATTTACACAGTGTTATAAGCCAATATGACCTCAATAACATAATTTTTAAAAGTTCACTGTGATTAGTTCTTCCTAAGACCCAATAATTAAATTTCCAGAAGAGCCAAAAAGCATCCCTAACGTATCACACTAATACATGCAGCAGTTTGCCTGTGAATGGACTTTTCTTTGACGATAGCTCTTGTTTTTTTTTTAATGGGGAATTTTTTAAAAATTAGCAATTTCAGCCGTACAGTTCTGATACTAATCCTGAATATATTTGATGATTCTTAGAGCCTTCTGAATTCCTACTTCTCTATATTTGTATATAGTTTACTCCACTCGGCCTGTCTGAATCTTTCCCATCCCCACTCAAGTCCCACTTCCCCCATGGAGAGGAACGAGTCACATCTATTGCTCTGACTCTGAGCCCGGAGCTGTACTGAAGTTCTACCCCAGCTCTCTCATTTAGTTCTCCCAATAAGGCTATGTGATAATGTAATAGTGTTACTCCCATTTCACAGACGAGGAAACTGAGGTAACATGTCCAGGCCCTCAGAGCTAGTGAGGATTCCAACTCAAATTCTAAATCCCATGCTTTCTTAAAGCCCTAACTGTGCCCCTAACTATGAACTAGATGCCCTCCCTCCCCCAACCTTAATTTCCTAATCTGAACTCCTACAGCCTAGGGTCTGTGTCTCTTATTACACACCCCCATGTCTCCCTCATCTCATGCTCTAGTGACTTGCATCTAGCAGGGATGAGGGAATGTTTGATGGGGAAAGAGTTGCTTTCTTTTTTGCAGGGGAGAGGGAATTCCTATTTAATAACTTTGTACTACAGGAATATGAGCTCCAAAGGAATTCTTGACATTATCTGATTTGCAGTTAGAGAAAAATCTATATAAAAGTTAACTTACGGTGCATATAGTATTTTGATGTATTAGTATTAAAATGATTTGGAATGTATAGCTCTTTTTGACACACAGCTGTCTTTCATTTCATCTCAAGATGAGCATCTACTGTTTGCATTGTTTTATTCTAAGTAAGTGAGGGATACAAAAACGAATGAGGCAAAGTCTCCACCCTTAAGCACTTACAGTTTATTTGGTAAAACAAGAATGCAGACAACTAATACTGGGAAAAAAAAAAACCAAGACAAAACAGAAACCAAGGACAGTTGAATAGGGCTGTAAACTCTTAGGTAACCGACTGATAATTTTTCATGTGTGATGTTTTGGTTAGAAATAAATCATTTAGTCCTAATGCTAAGCTTCAAATCATTATCATGAAGTTTAATTATTATACATGTCTTTACAGCAAGTTTATTTCTGACCGTGAAAGCAGAAGAAGTCTCACTAACAGCCATTTGGAAAAAAAGAAATGTGATGAATATGTAAGTGTCATTATAATAAAATATGCTTGTTTTTTTCATCATGTAAATTGGGACAGATGTTCTTAATGCATGTAGCATAGTACCATAAGCATAGCTATCTGTATTCACCAGGATGTTCCTCAGACCCTATGTGTTTTCTCCTGAAATCCATTGAAAAAAAAAATAACTAGACTGCTAAGGAAGGGTTTCTTGAATTTCATTCCTCTGTTGGTTCCTAATAGTGCTTTAAAGGCTTTGGCAGGATGAACTTTCTTGGCGACTGTTTGCTTAGAGTGAATGTTTGTGTCTCTGTTCAGATTCCAGGAACAACCTCCTTAGGCATGTCTGTTTTTAACCTAAGCAACGCCATCATGGGCAGTGGGATTTTGGGACTCGCCTTTGCCCTGGCGAACACTGGCATCCTGCTTTTTCTGTGAGTATTGACACTGCAGTACTTTCCATTTTAAAACTGTATTTTCTGTATGTTTCTGTTTGTATACAGAAGAAATGGAAAATATTCCTAAATAGTTTTTATTTCTTATGATGTTTTTACTAACTTGGCTAAGTTACAGTATGTACTTTTACTCTGTTTGAATGATGTTCCAAGATGCACCTAACGTTTATAAGAAAGTGGAAGGAGAAAATCTTTTTGTTAGTCAAAAATACCAGAATAAGCATTTGTAAAAGAGATGAAAACATTTGAGAATAGTGTTTTTTGTATTTTTGTACTCTTTACCTGTCACTTTAAATGTCTGCTAAATGGTCAAAATATTAAGAGGTGTTTAATCCAACAAGTCATCACTTTGGTATTTGGATTGCTATGGAACATGTTCTATATCCAAAGGTAACTACAAATTTGTTTTAAATAAATATTCAAGAAGCATAGAAGTTTGCAGTGTTTTAAAGATGAGAAATTAGCATGCACTTTTCCTCTGAGATTCAGTGAAAAGAAAATGGGCAATTTTCTTTTGAAATAAGTTCATCTCAAACTGTTGAGTGGGACTTTCTACAGATGTACAGAAGACTTATTTTTAGTGGAAACAAGATCAAGACAGATCATGGAATTTATGCTAGGAAAATTCTCACCCAGCCTGATTGCCCTCTCAAACTTCAAAGGGAATATCAGTGGTGCTTTGCCTGATGAGGCAAGGAGGAAATCCTCTTCTTCCAGGATCTTGCCTTCTTGCCCCTGACTACCCTCACACTCTTCATTGGCCTTGCTCAGTCGTCCTGACTGCCAGATCATTTTGATGGGAGCATCATTTCCTTGGAAGTAGTGACTGAAATGGCTGCTAATCCTACAAATTGTGTATATTCCTTTAAAAAGACTTCGAAAACTGTAATGGAGGTGCATTGCTACCCATTGCATTACTCAGGGATCAGAAATGCCCATCCATGCTGCGCCATATTGGTCCATAGCACGATTAATATTCTTACTTTTGTGTGTAAACCCCTAGAGGTGTCCTTCCTAGAATTAAAACAACTTTGTGTCAAATTGTGAATTCAATACATTTTCTTCCTTATTGTCCATGGAACTCAGTAAGCCCAGCTGTATCCTTCTCTCTTCATTGCCCTGGCTGCATCTTTCTATGTGGCCTTTCTGCTTATGTATATCTTGAGCCAAGTACCGGGTTTTAGGGTAGAATGACAGAGTTGGACAAAATATTTCTATGGTAATTTTGTTTTGTCTGTGTGAAGCTGACCCTCTGAGGATACCGCAGATGTAGCTTGTGTCACGGCTCTTCGGATTTTCAGTGCGATGACATGAGACACCTGACTCCTAGTCCCAACTCTTCTAAATAGCTAGGTGGTCTTAAGCAAGTTACTTAGAAGCTCTGAGCTTCAATTTTCTACCCTTTAAAACAGGGAAATTGCACTAGAAAAACCTCAGAACCCTGCCAACCTCCAAAACCCTATGGTTCTGTGACTATTTTCAGTCATTCCAAATTTGGAAATATATTCACTTCAGAAATGTGTTTTACATTGATTTCTTTTTTTTTAGTTATTGTAATATATCAAGTAGTTATATGTTAACATAGTATAGACTGAGTTCTGTGATGATGTTGATGACGACGACAACTCTTGTAGCGGTTACTTTGTGCCAGGTTCTACCCTAAATGTCTTATGCTGAATCCTTACAAGTCTCTTAGATAGGTACTATCACTAGTTCCTGTTTCACAATAAGGGAACTGAGGCATAGAGAGGAGACTTTTACTTTGGAACCTTTTCTCACCATTCTGGGAATTCCCTTCACCTCTCTTCTCTGCTAGGTCTCTTGTTTCCTGTGTTCCATTTCTTCTTCTTCTTTCTGGATTTATTTCTTTGCTTTTGTTGCTGATAAAGGATGAATAAAAATGAATTTTTTGAGGGTCTGGCCCCAGGGTCTAGTGGTTAAGTTCAGTATGCTCCACTTCAGCAGCCCAGGTTCCATTCCCAAATGCAGACCTACACCACTTGTCAGCAGCCAAGCTGTGGTGGCGACCCACATACAAAATAGAGGAAGATTGGCACAGATGTTAGCTCAGGGCAAATTTTCCTCAGCAAAAGAAAAAAGGAAGAAGTTTTTGAGGCCTTCATGTCTGAAAAATGTTTTTATTCTACCTTCACCTTTGGTTGGCAGTTTGGCTAGCTATGGAACTCTGTTGGCAATAATTTCCTTGAGAATTTTGAAGGTATTGTTCCATTGCTTTCTAGTTTTTTCTGTTATCAAGTCTTGCATGCTTCTGATTCCTGATCTTTTATCTATAGCCAGAGTTTTTGTCTTTTGTTTTTTTGTTTTTTCTGGAAACTTGTCAAATATTTTTGTTCCCAATGTTCTGCAGTTTTACAAGGATATGTCTTGATGTAGACCTGTTTTCATCCATTGTGTCAGGCAATTGGTGCATCCTTTTCTTTTAGAAATTCATGGTCTTCAGTTTGGGGACATTTTCTTAGATTATTGTATTAATGAATTCCTTTCTCCTCTTTCTCTTTTCTCTCTTTCTGGAACTGTTACCCAGATTTTGGACCTTCTGGACTAGTCCTCTGATTTTTTATTCTTTTCTTTATTTTCATTTCTATAATTTTTCGGTTTACTTTCTGTGATATGTCCTCAATTTTTTCCCAACTCTTTACTTAATGTTTTATGTCTGTTATTTTTTATTTATAGGAACTTTTAAAAATTCTTTGTTTCTTTTTTATATTATTTTGTTTCTGTTTTATGATTTCATTATCTTCTCTGAGGATTCCAATGATAGATCTTCTCTGTTATAGAAAATTTCAAACATAAAGTAGAGAAAACGATATAAAAGATTCCCGTGTTCCCTTCATCCCATGACCATGCTTATTTAGCCATCCTCCTTACCCATAGGGTCTTGAAGCAAATCCGAGTTATTATATCATTTCATCCATAAGTATTTCAGTCTATTTCTCCAACATATAAGGACTATTAAAACATAACCATAATATGTCATACAAAAAAATTAACAACAGCTCCTTAATATCATCAAATATCCAAAAAATATTTAAATTGCTCTGATTATTTCATCTTTTTAAAACAACTACATTGTTCAAATCAGTACTCAAATGAGGTCCATATAGTGCAGTTAGTTAATAGGTGTTTCAAGTCTCTTTTAATCTATAGGTCCCTCATTTCTCTCTCTCCTTTTTTTCCATGCAATTTATTTGTTGAAGAAACTGGGCCATTCATCCTGTAGAGTTTCCCACAATCTGAATTCTGCTGATGGTATCCCCGTGGTGCAAGTTGACTTTTTTGTTTGCTTTAGACTCCATCTTTCATTTCAGAATCTTCCCTCAGATGTCAGGTGGTCCTTCTTCCTCTGCTATATTCAAGAATGGGGGGGGGGGGGGTGGGGATGGGAAACAAGGCTATCCTGAGCCTCGTACACATGAGCGGGACTTGTTGGTAATAGCTTCACTTGAGGTGCTGTCGACAGCCTATTATTTGGGGAACCAGCAGTGTCACTTTCATTTTGGCTGTTCAGATCACCCAGAGAAGATCTTCCAGTCCCCTGCCTGCAGGGTCTGGGCATTGCTGCCATCGTTCTGGGAACCAAGTGGGGAAAAGGGCTGGGGTGAGTTTCTCAGCATGCACGTGTTTACCTGGTCCCAGAGTTCATTACAGCACCCCCTCCGCCATAAGTTGTGCTGAATCCCTCACCCAGAGAAATATTTTATACTTTCCAAAGAAAGTATCTTCAGATATGGATCTTTTGTGAGGATGGGAGAGGAGCAATCACTCCTTTACAGAGCAGGTGCCGGTCTGGGGAGTCTAGCTATTTCTTGAAAGAAGTTCAACAGATCCTCTTTATTTTAGCGCATCCCTTCCATTGTTCTACTTCCAGTAATGCCACCAGGGCCTTTTGGGAATTCTGTGGTGTAAATTGCTCTTGGCTTTCTCCACTGCCAATTTAAGATTCAGCTCTGTCTACTTTCCAGCTTCTGAAATTTCATTATTGTCATCTCCTCTCATGTGCTTTTACTATCTTAGCAGTTTTATGCCTTAGGAAAAAAAAATCCCTTTACCGGGATATCAGGAGGGAGCAGGAGTAAATTCTTGTATTCAATCTACCATTCCTGGAATTTGGTTGATTTTTGATTCTGCTGGTTTGGGGATAATTGATCTCTTATCTCATGACCCTTCAGTTTCTGACTGAAGCAAAGAATTGGATAAACTTGACTTTTATAGTTGCTAGTAGATTTCCTCTGGATAAAACTATTATAGATCCTTTGGTTATTTGTCAGATGTGCGAATAGCAAGCACAACACACTAAATCTTCAGGTTAATCCTCATGAAGGTAGTTGGGTAAAGACCCAAACTTGTAAGTTTTGCAAAAATGTAGAACTCTCCTACCTCCAAACAAGGGCTCACTCTGTGTGTTGCAAAACCAGCTGCTCCTACAGCTGCTCAAAGCCAAGAAGCAGTTGGCAGGATCGAGATATTTCATCTGGTACAGGGCCCTGGTCCAGACTCAAATTGGCCAACACAGAGAGAGAGTCCAAGCCTGTCCAGGCTTCTTTAGAAAAGCAGCTGGGAAGGCTCCTCCGTGTCTCACTGAGGCTGGGTGCAGAACTCTTCGCTGGGGTCATCTGGAAACTTGCTGGGGTAATCTCTTTTTCTTGGATAAGTTTGGGGCTCATTTTTTTGACCTCACCATAATGGCTGTCATCCCTCTTTAACATGCATCTGATTCAGTTAGAGTCAGTGAATTCTGCCCTATTGTAAGAGTGCTGTTAGGGTTTGTGTTTTCCTGAATTCTGAGGCCTTATAATTCCATCTGAGGAACGGGAGGTACAGGAGTGGGGAATCTCAGTTTACAATTCTTCTGAAGGTGTATGTTCTCTGTTGGGAACAAAATGGGGCTGTCTCCTGAGGCAGCAATTCCGGGATGTGCTGAGGCACAAGTGCCTAGGGCCAAATGCACCTATTGAATT